AGGCTTGAGAAGCTCATTTACAGTGCGACTACACGAACCGAGGCCACCCAAACAAATTCTTGAGACAAATTTTGAAATTAGCCAATCACAAGTCGACATGAAAGTAAGAAATGCGAAAACTATTACAGACACAAGATTCCCCTAAAACCGTAACCCTTTGTACATAATAACAGAAACTGTTCGGTTTTATAATTACATTCGCAGTTCTCCCGGGCAAGTACCACGAGAAATACAACCTTAGATAAAAGATTTCCCAGCCTGAATTTCAGACATCTTCGAGAGTCAAAGGGATGCCCGAAATTCAGACTTAAAGATTTCTCTGGGTAGCTTTTCACCGTTTTCCGTTATTAATCGATAAAATGACTTGATCGTTAACGATTTTTATCGATTTCATTTTTTATCCATTAGCTACTCCGGGAAGTAACTACACACGGAACTAAGGTTATTTTGAAAGAACGGCAGATCTATAAATCGTGAAAAAGTGGGAAAAATATAAAAACCCGGCCAATATCGGTCATCCGAAGAAGACTTTAAAGCGGGTTTTAAAGAAAAGATAGGTTTTTTTAAACCTTTTTTTTAAAAAGTGATAATAAATTGTTTGATTCTTCGACTCCCGATTGCAACTCAATGGTCAACAAATTCACTCTTTTCATGAAATCAGTTTTCATTTTTGGATGAACAGAAGAACAGAATGTATCTTCCGATAAAAATGGATGGAATCGGTAAAATCTAGATAAATCGATAAATGAAACGAGTGTGTCATCGATTTCTACCGATTGATCGTTACAATCGATGTCAATCAAATCAGATTTACCGATTTTCATCGATTTATCGATTGATAAATCGATACCGATTTTTATCGATTGACTACTCCGGCAATAAATAGACGTGACGAGGCTATATGGTACCACCTAGTCTCCTATACCACAATAACAGTCCATTGTTTTTGTTGTCACATTTTCAAATTCTTATTTGTAACGAACTTTTTCTTTTAGCCCCTCAAGAAGGTTTGTTTTCAAACCGAAATATTGGGCAATTTGTTTCAATATATATTATATTTTTTGCTTTATGCTTTTGTTTACTTCTTCATCCCCATGTCGTGAATGTGTCGTAAGGATCAGTTTGCCGTTTCATATTTGTGTGGAGTAACAACCCGGTTCTACCTGTATCGAATATTAGAAGAAAATTTCACAACGAGAAAAAAACGTTCAACGGTCTGATCTTTTCCCGACATTATAAATTGATGATTTGCATGAAGGAGAAAAAGTGGTCCCGGGGATAGGGGGATTCTCCTGGTAATCCTTGGTGGGGGTGTGCCGTCTGCTTCTCCAAACCCTAACCAAAAAATTCTTAAAATGCATTTCGTATTTGCATATTTCTATTTCTTCATTTGAAATTGATCATGAAACAATAAATACGTTCATACACTCCTATAGTTCCCTCGGAAACCATACCCGATGCCAGACCAAAATTAAAGTGGGCAAAGCTAGCCTATCCGTTTTCAGACCAACAAGGCCAAAATGCCTACCCTTTGGGGCGGCTCATACCAATATGGCTTATATAAAGGAGAGCGGATCAGTGGTAAGAACGCTGAACTTGCAGGATGTCCTGCTCTCAGAGTGTTTTTTTGCTTATTTATACTTAGTTAGGCGGTTTTTGTAGGCTGGGGACGTTCCGATCAACCTGGGAGTGAATATTTAACAATTCCACCACGCCTAAAACAACTTCGTGTGGACGTAATGAATCAGACCCAGTGTGCGGAACGAATTGCAAGACTGGATCTTAAACCCGACATAGGGATTACCGTGCAAGAGTTCTTCCCTACTTATGAGAATAAAGTCATGTGCGTGATAAGCAAAAATGCCAGTGCTTGTTTCGGGGACAGCGGTGGTCCCTTAGTCTGCAAAGAAAATGGTCACTGGATGCTTCGTGGTCTTGCTAGCTTCATCCTTTCGAAGACGACTTGCCCAAGGGGACTTCCTAATATTTATACCCGCTTAAGCAATTACGTGGACTGGATCAATTCATTCATGAAGGTAGGCATTTGAACTATTCACCAGGCCAGGAGCCCATAACTAGGAGCGTTCAACTCTTATACTAGGCACGGCGTTTTTACAGACGGGTTTATTTTTAGATGCATTTTACATCACTTTTTACCGCGAAAACGAAAGCTCCGCTCAGTTCTTGAGCGCATTATAAATTCAAGAAGTGACAATGGAAAACCAAACGTCATTAAAAGGTCAAAAATGCCATTTTTAGGGGCTTTAGTTTTGATGACTAGTTTGTGGGACCTTCATTTATCCTTCGCACGCGTTTTGAGACACGTTTGGTGACGGATTCTAGATATGAGGTCATAAATGGGCAAGCCATTTTGAGTGAAAATGCATGTTTTTCATCTCGTTTTAATGATAAAAGCAAATATTGTGGATAAAATGAAGCCAAGTACTTATTTATGATTTATTTCACACGTAATGACCAATTTCTACAGTTGGTAAAATCCAAGATGGCGACCACGTTTGGTGACGTCACAGGCTTCCAGTAGCGCCCCCACCCAGGAAATTTTTACTTCATCTTGCGGTGAAGATCAAAGGCTTTTTAATGAAGTTAAAATGTTTCGAAATATTTCAATATGTCACAAACTCAAGGGAGGGTTTTCAT